AAAGGTGTTTTATTACTCGCAAAGGCAGCAGGTTGGCTGTTTAGTGCTTCGCTAGTCCTCGCAGTTTTTGGAGGGTTTTCCTGAAACACATTATTCATATGCATATTGATATAAATATTTTACGTTAAGGCCCATGCTGAAGCCATCTATTTTTTGATTAAAGTCATGTGCATGTACACTATCTCTGGGCAATTTCGCTAGCGAACGGTAAAATGCAACCACGGTGCGCTGTATTTCTGCCGCTATATAGCCCCGTATCGCGAATTTACACAATGTAATGAATAGCGACCTAGTGGCCAAACTCCGCTATGAATATGGCCTACATATCGCGGCTTTTCCACAGCGAGGTGCCAGCGCGCTGTCAACTTGTGAGTCGCTGTGGATCTGCTACTAGGGGCATATATCTACGAAATTTCCGACTATCGCCAATGGTTATGATACGTTTTGGGAACTTGAGTTATAGTCTTTTGGAGGAAACTGGCACTCATCATGCGCTCACGTTATGATTTGAATTTATCTAACAAGTCAGTATTATGTCTTGTAGGATAGAATCGAGAGGCAGTTTCACTCCTTTGGCACGAGTCACGGCACCTAATGCACTCGGACGAAGGCGTCATTTTCAGAATATATCGTCCATTTATCATTGATCGTAGAATTTGATAGTTAGTGAACGTTTGCCATCATATGGGGAATAGTAAAGAGATCGTCATTTCGCCTATTTTCTCCATTTGAAGAATCTGTCTATGTAGCTATTGCTCCGATCTTGCTGGATTGTCAGATCACAATTGACGTGTCCATTTTGTTCGCTCGACTCTCCGTACACTCGCCCCACAATATGTCTATGTTCCCCGTTCAAAATTCGTTTTGATACAGTTGTTCTGCCATGATGTCACGATCTAAGTCGTCTACGAAGAAAACGCGTGCTACAAAAGCTTGGTACCCTTAGTCCAGTGCCTGCCTAGAGACCGACTACGTAGGCTGTGCTGCACTAACAGTAAAATTCCATAATTATTTACCTTCCTCCCTCCCACATGTCTTCGCGCCCATACGGATCTGCCGAGCGCTTGAGATGCTGTACATCTATGTTAGATTTAATTGAACTGCACCTTTATTGCTGTGTGCCCCATGTTTTAAATTGGAACTTCATCATTCACGTTACCCATGCAGCCTCTTTGCCCTTTTTTGCGCACACTTACCAATGGAAGTATCCATGTCCTAGGAGGCGATGTTACGGATGAGACATCTTTAATTAACAGGTTCAGTTAAGCTTCTATTAATCATACCCTTTTTCCTAAGCAGCAAGGCACTGACGGCTTGCTTGTATTCTGTAGATACAGGAAAATTTTTCGCCACTAATGCGCAAATCTAGCTGCATTCAGCCCTTCCTCTCTATTGTTCTCGATCCTCTACGCGCTCACTTTACCTCATGCCATCCAAAGGCAGTCATCGTTAACCTTTGGCGCAATTATTAGATATGTTGGTCCGAGAGAAGATTAGTTTCCTTTGATTATTAACTTTCATCGATCACAAAGTGGTTACCGTGTCTTTCGTGATATCTCTTCTATGATTATCTTTTCTTGGTACTTTTTGGTTCGCGCTTACTTAGGTCCTTACTTTTGTATCTTTGGCATAGGCTTAACTGACGGTGTACTTCGTCCCCGTTTTCAAAATCTTATGTTTCGTACACATATTTTGGTACTCTAATCTATTTGCGTCACCACCGCCTGTATGTTGTGAGTTCCATTGAATGCATTATAAAGGGCTGAAATGGCTTACATGTTTATTTAATCAGTGCTGATGCTCACAGTAAATGTATCTAAGATAACTTTCGCTGGCCATGGGCTGCAACAGCCTGACCAGAACTTGTTATGTATGTTAGGTGATATCATCTAGAAAAACACACCACGGCAGTTCTACTGACCTAAAGGCTACGCGATTCATTCCCCTCACTTGCAGGATTCGGAAGCAGTTAATGTCTCACTGTATGATTCCATTTAAGTCTACTGGTTCATTCTTCTTGGTTTATTTTTGTATGGATGGTTGCAGCTGACCTTTTTGTTATTTCAAGTTTCCACCAGTACCTCCTGACCGCATGTTTTGTTTATCTACCACAGAATACCTCCCGTTGGTCTTAGAGAAAACATTGGGAACTTTTATTCCCTATTGTAAGACGAATGAACGTCGGATTCAAATTTCGCAGTGAGCTATCGGCCCATTCTGGTGATGTGCGGAGTATCTGTTGCCCCCGGGCTGGTCTGTTGCTCTCGGCTTCACGGGATTTCACGGTTCGTTCATGGAACCTAGACACGTGAGTGAAAATATTATTGAAGGTTTGTGATACCCCAAATCAGGGTTCTGGTACTAGCATTGAATAGACTTCTGTCGATTAACAATTCGTGCTTATTTGCGTTGCGCGGTCAATGCAGTCTTCTGATGCTTTTTTGGCCTCGTACTTTTAACTGTATTGTCTAATTCGATTATAACTCATGTATCTGTGTTGGCCAGTTAGGCCATAGTTTATATGTCTTAGCTATGTGCATTTGTTCAGAATTTCCTCCACTATCACCTTTCCTTGTCCTGCTGACCTAGAGACACATCACAAGTCTCAGAAGGCAAAGTCTATTCTAACCATACAAATTATGTGTCGGCAGTCACATACTTGCCATCATCGAGTCTCTTCCCACATGGACTCATTCTCACGGCTTCCAATGACAGAATAATTCGAGCCTTCAACGAGGTGGACTGCAGCGAACCGGTTTTCGTTCTACATGGACACACCGAACCTGGTACGCCCTGCCTTTTCGTTCTAGTTTGTAATTGTGAATCTCTTCAGTTTGTGCACTGGCGACCAACGATGACGGCTTCATTTTCAGTGGCTCCTGGGACTCTACGGCAAAGATCTGGAATCATGACCTGTGTCTGGCAACTCTCACACGTGAGTTCAGTCTTAACATTTGTTTACATTATTCATTGACAGCTAAACTGCTCTTATTGACCTTCTCACTTATAGACAATCACTTCAGCACCCTGCTCTTTAGTTGTCATACGTTCCGGACGATTAGTCTTCGGTGCCTTAGTTGAAAAAGTCCAACATTAAAGCTGCCTGTATAATGCCTGCTCCATCGGGTCCTCTTTTTCTAAGCTAACCCGCGGAAACTTCAACGGGGGTGTTGAGTTGGAT